CGTTCTTTCCTCGTTTTGCTTTTATTTCAGTTCCCGCTCCCCTGTTTTTTCGTGTTTTCGTGTTCTCGCGTTTTTCTGTTCCTCTTTCCCCGCAACAACTGTTCCGCGTACGCTATTGAGCTTGAGAATCGCGTCGTATTTCGAAACGTCCCGGCGAACCGGTTTATTGGCGAGCTCCACGGGAAACACGGTTCACGGTCCCGCGATCAGCTTTCAGGCGAACGTCTCGCGCTTCTCGGTCGGGGAAATCTTTGACATGATCATGCAGCTCGGCGATCTATACGACTCCCACTTCATCAAACAGAATCGCTCCTACCGGATCGATCATTTCTTCGATCACCTGTACGGCAGCTACGATCTCGCCCAGATAATGAAACGTGTGAGTATCGCTGAAGCTGAACTAAATATGAATTAAATAATAATGAACTAAATATTAGCGCAGGTAACTCGATATTCGTATTTACCAAATTTCGTTTGAGATCTCCGTGGAAAGTTCTTTAGAGTTACAAAGCAAAACACTGGAAATATCGTATATTACATCGGTGTTTGTCTTTTATTAACGATAAATTATGACAAAGTAGCTTCGTGAGAAGTTACGAGACTATTTGCAAGCTTCTCTTCTCCTTTTTGTTTCACTGAATGGGAGCTGAACGCTTTCAGAGTCGATTTCAGCTGCAACAACGCAATGTTCCATTTTTTTTCTGTTTATGAGTGACTTTCTTCGCAAGAAAAAGTTTGTTAATAGGATATAAGTGATTTCAGTTGACACCGCAGTGCTCGAAGCTGCTCGCGAAGTGCAGGTTCCACGACGAGGAGAAGAATTGCTCGGAAATGTTCCAATTCCGAAAAACGCAAGACGGGTTTTGTTGCACTTTCAATTACGCGACCAAAGCAGACGACATAGATTTGTAAGTTCAACATACTATTTACGATTCGTACCTGTATCTTGTTTGAGTTTACATCTTACTAATTTTTCTTTCCTTAAAATGGTCTACTGAAATTCGCTCGTGCTGGAAGTTCAACAAATTATTTAATAATTAGCGTGTAGCTTTTCTGAAAGCGTCAGAATGACGCCGTAGAATTCTCGAACAGGCGTGTTTCTGTAAATAATATATTTTCAGTGGCTCATACAGATTCGCAAGTGTCAAAGTAACCTGAACTTTACGCGAAACAAAGTTGTTAATATTTGCAAAGCAGCTTACCACGCCTGTTTTCAAACGGCCGTGCAGTTTTGATTTAAATGCAGAAAGTCTCGAGCATATTCGTCCCCTTTGAGTAGAAAATTCAGTTGTCCGGGCAGAGTACGTGACAATGTGATAACTGAACCTTCTGTTCCTTCAGTTTTCCTTCTCTTTCTCAGCCAAAATTATTCTATGAATAATAATGCGTGTTCCCAATACAGCTGCCACGATCGGACCGCGAATTTCACGTATTCGCCGCGTAAATAAATTCACCGGAATTTCATGTAGTAATCACAGTTGCCATTATAAAACTCATAACGACGGAAACCAATTTTCGTTCGAAAAAAACCAGTTTTCGTTTTACCAAATAATGGACGGAAACCTTCGGTCCAATTACCGTGTTCCGCAGTATCATACGCATATTTTGTTTAATTCCCACAGGCAAAATGGTGTGGATCACAGACTGGCCCCGTTGAAAGTTGAAAATCTGGGCGAAGATGGAGGAATGTCTGTTGTACTGAACACATTCTTGGATGAATACGCGTATCCTATTTTCCCTATTTCTGGTTTCAAGGTAAATTCAATTATTCACAGTAAAAATTCAAACATTGTCGACGCTCTTATTCAACGAATCTCCGAAATTTACTACACTGTTTTATTATATGTTCGAGAATTCTGCACACTTAAAATTTTGATGAATTTCAAGATACTCTTTCAAACCGATGTTTCGAATTTAAATTGTTTCGATGTTCTCGACATGTTGAATATCTTGACTATTTCAAATTCTCGCGTAAACCGTCACTCGTCCATTGGAAATGCTTGAACGAAAATCTCGGCCGCGATGCACCCGCGTTTAACGTGATCAATATTTCAACGGTCATTTACCATCAACACACTTCCCGCTATCAAAGATCCGAAATGGCCCGCTCTCAGCCGGAAAACTCGGAGCGCGGATGGAACGGCCGGAATCAGCGACATACGAAAATGTCCCCGGATAATTACGTTCTCGAAAAACTGCATCGCGCTCGGTTACAACGGGCGCGATTATCTTCCTTGGTAGCGGCCGCCGTATCATACAAATTGCACACGGTTATCCGGGGAATGTAGCACTGTGCTCGCGTAAAAGCGAAATCGCAGATGTTCCGTTGCCCGTCGAGATTATTCGACGCGTTGTTGTACGTAAATCTCGCCGAGGTTTCATTTATTCGTTCTCAGCTTTCGGAGGATCTTTCTTCGAAAGACGATCGATCGACCGATCACAATCTTCAAACTCACAGCTGAGAAATTAGTGTAAAATCACGTAAAACGAAACGAATCGATATCAATTTCTAAATACAAATCAACGACGCATTCGATAGCTCGAACGATCGTGTTACAACGAATATACTTCGTGACTCTGGAGTTACAGCGACGTGAAACGTATCGATTCACTTAAACTTCGATGTACGCAAGTGTAAAGTCGATTGATTTTATTCGAGCGTTTATTCGCCAGCTTGTGATAAAACATTCAGTGACGATATTTATATATATCGGACCGCGAATAAGTAAGTCACGCAGATGATCGTGCGATGGAAAGCGAAATATAAAATTGAGAAACGCGACTACGGTTTCCGCAGGTGACGATATTCAACCCGCACGACTATCCGGACATGACCAGCGGCGGCGTGATCGAGATGTTCGTGTCCCCGCAGATGCAGAAGAACGTGGACATGGTAGCGATCGTTTCTTACAGCACGACCAACGTCATACCGTACGCGCTGCAGCACCGGCACTGCGTGTTCGCCGAAGAAATGGCGTCCGTGCGCGCCTCGTACACGTACAGCGATTGCATTGTGGACTGCAAGATCGCTGATATACTGCACCATTGCAGCTGTGTGCCATTCTATCTGCCTAACCGAGGTGAGAGTTCCCTTTATGAATTGCATATTGCTGGCTGAATCATTGTTCATTCGATTTGTAATATATTACCCTGAATTTCTACTATTACCCTTGCTATATTCATTAATTAACACCTGTTTCCTATTTCTGATTGTACGAGGTTTCATCTTGTATTATTCTACCGCTCTCTTTTTCCAATTTTCAGAGCCACTTCTCTATCTATATTCTCTCGATTGAATACACTTTGCTCTAAAAACAAGCTGTCTCATTTACCACGAGAAGTATTCGTTTCAACCAAGACGCATCATTCTATCAATCAACTTCCATTCATCCGTTAAATTGCCATCACTTCCCCGAGCATGTTCTCGCAACCATCATCCACCATCGAAGGCTTCCTACCCCACGAAGAAATGCAACAAGAAAGTGGAGCAAGTCGAGCGATACGTTTCCTTAGCCTCACCGTCGCAACTTGTAAAGATGATATTTCCTTCGGAGCGGTTCGGACAAGATAACAAATATTCTTCCCCATTTTGTTCTCCTGACCGCGGAGAACTCGTATCGAGCGATCCTTTCTCACAGTCATTCTTAACCATTTTTCGCCCACGACCCAAACAGAGATAAATTGGGTCTCTCCTAATTAATGAAGTATCAGGTAATTTTTTCATTTTCATCGTTAGTCACATTGAACTGTAACTGCAACTGTATCTTCAAACTTCATTGTTACCTCCTTGAAGCGAGCTTATTAATTCTTGTTAGACAAGTTAACTCCGTTTTTAATAAAACATACCTTAAAGTGCATCCTGACAAAGGATCTTCAATCTTTCACAGAGACGCACTCGTACCATTGCAAATACTCCCGAAGTAGCTGGTAGTTCATAATAAAAAGACTTCAGAGTTGCTGAAAGGTCATTCTAAAAATTTCTCGAAGTACAAAAGGTTGAACATAATAAACGACCATTTAAATAGACTTTGTTCTTAAATCGCTATTGTCTGTAAGTCTGAGGAATGGAACTGTAACTGCGATAACAGTTTAAATTGTAATTGTAAACCGTTCGTGACCCAGTGCAAACAACAGGCGATCCACGGGTCAAGAACTGATGCGGTCTATGCGACGAGCCACGATAACCAAGCCACAGAATCAATCCGGAAACTTTTGTATCTCAGCGGAAACTCGGCGTCACTCGTTCATTGTTATAATGAGGTAGCTTTAATCGAGGCTCACCGTTGACTCTCCGAACACAATACGCTAAATGTAGTCCACAACAGGACCGCCTGCCCGGCCAACTCCCCAAGAAACTTCTAAATTATTCGGGGAACGCCGGGCAACTATAAACCAGCGGCGCGCACCGCGGCCAAGTAGTTTCCTTCGAAGATAAGTTCCGGCGATGCAATAAAAACTGTTTAAACTGGCGCGGGTCACAAAATCCACTTCCCCCGCCGCGACGGAGGTCCTCGCGGCTCGATGATCCTTCGACTTGGAACGTATCGTGCTATTTTAACACTAGATTCATGGACCACATCGATTTGCCGTGTATTTAATTTTGTATACATTATTGCCGTTCAACGGTGGGAATTGTACGAGTCTGTGTTTCACTTGATCACTGTTAAACTTGTAATTTTCGAAACTGAATTGAACGAACATCGGTCTCTGTTAGTACTGGAGTTGCTGTATTATATTTCTGTTACTATAGAAATTGCTACATTCTCTATGGTTGTATAGATTACTATATTATACCTCTATTACTGTAGGAACTGTTATATTACATTTCTATTACTAGAGGTATTGCTATGTTACATCTCTAATGCTAGAGACTGCTATATTTTGCCTCTATTACTCTAGGAATTCTGTACTACGTCTTCTTCCTATATTACATCTCTATTCCTATAGAGATTGCTACATTATATCTCTACAGTTGTACAGACTACTACGTTATATCTCCATTGCCATAAGGTTAGCAATATTACATACCCATAGAGACCACTGAGACATCAACCTTATGGTTTAACTCTAAAAAGTACCATCAATATCAAAGGATCAACCATCGCCTCGAGAGTTTCAAGTAACGAAATCTTGAAGCTGCAAAGTGATTATTAATATTACCATAATTTCTAACTTTCAATTAACAATATTCCCCACAGACAGACATATTTTTCTCGTCCCAGAAATTGCTCCCTTTAATTCAGTGGCCCGGCGCGATCCGCTTTAACGCTTTAAGCCGAGCCACAGCTAGACGACGTTAGAAGGCTCGCACTGCACTGCGGCACAGATTGCCGGTTCCTAGCTTCTAATCCTGGCCGAAGGGACAGTGCATTGTTCTTCATCTTCCGGAAATCCCCTGTATCGTCTGCTCCGTCGCGGTGAAAGCGTGGAACGAAAAAATATTTACTTGATCTTCTAGTATTCTTTATTGACTCACATTTCATTTCGTTTCATCGTTTATATTTTTAATTGTATCACTATCGCCGCTTAATAGATCGAGAAAACGTTGCCATCACAATTTCAACTTATGCTGTTTCTAACATAATCATTTGTACGCTCCATCTTTCGCCTCTTTCAGTTTCGTTCCCTTTCCCGTTGATACCGCTAACTGTCACGTGTAATCCTATTCTAAAGGATTTATGAGACTCCGTATCCTATTTCAGAAATAATTACTCTACGCTTTTACGTTCTTCCGTAAAGGGTTGAAGGGCCTTTCTGCTTATTAACGTCTCTTTCTTCTCTTTTAATCTCTCGCTGAGAAGTTTCGCTAAAAATTAACAAGCTGAACGCAACGTGGACCGTAGTAATAATGATGAATACGAAAGCGTTATGCATTGTTTTAAAATATTTCATCCGCCGGAATATGCCAGGATTATTGCCATCGTTCGGATTTTCCTTTGAAAGTTCAGCCCTCGAGGCATTCACGTCGCTCGGAGCCCTTTAGGTCCGTTTCTAATAACGAATCAACAACTCGGAGGCTGTTAAGAGCGCAAAGTGCCATTACCGAACTACGTACCATTCGGAACAATGAAAAATCCGATCGGGCATTCAAGATGCCCGGCGTTAAGTCAGAAACCATTTCACTTGTTGCTATTACGCTTAATTAAAATTACGCGCTGAATAATTCAAGCCTCTCCTCGCGATCCTCGCCTTTCAGAGTCCAAGAGGGTCTGCAACTTGGAAGACATACCGTGCCTGTTGCAGCACAAACGTAAGTGGCGTCGAAGTTTCTCCGCAGTTCGTTCCAATCTCATTAATAGACTGTGGATTTTTATAGAGTTCTCGGGAATTTTAAAGTGCGAAATGTTTAACCTTAGATTTACACAACACATCAGTGTAATGGAAGTTGATATCTACGATCATTATTTTGTAATTGTATCTTCTTTCGATTGCTGATTAAATTAGATCTATGTGAATGCTAATTTCAGATCTATGCGAATGAACTCCTAATTAGGAACAATGTAACGATGTATACAATGAACGTCCGTAAATCTAGTGTTAACCCTTTGAACTCTGTAGGCTCCAATATTGCTCCAGTTATAATATTAAATATTTCAATGAATCTTAAAGAAACTATCCTAAAATTATTAGATTTTCCACACATTCAAATTTTGTGAAGGAAGATAAAGATCGAAGAAATGTCATAGCATTTCTCATTTTCGCTAGGAATACTATAAAAATTAGTTGCTGATAGATTGCAAAACAACGTGGAGTGCTAAGAGTTAAAATATTCAAACTGTAATTCTTTTTATAATTCACACGTCTCTAACCGTACGATTGACAAATATAAATTTCCATAAATATCCACAGTCGGCTCGCGAAAGGACCAGCTACGATGAACGTTTCGATTTCAGATAGATGGTCCTCGGTGATACCGAACTCGGACCTGTACAACGACGGGATCGAAGAGTCAAGCAAGGTTCTGCACTGTCAGAATTGTTATCCGCTGTGCAACGATATGACCTACAACGCGAAGATGACGAACACTATCCTGTCGCCTGGCAGGCATCAAACGAAATTACTGTGAGTAGTCGACGTCGAACGCGGCCGGTTGCTTACCGAAAGATGATTGTGTTCGAACAATCCGAAGGAACGACGTCCACATCGAGAATCAGAGCGCTCTGAACGTGTTCTTCAGCAATTTTGGTACTATCAAGTTGAAGCAAGATGTGGTTTATCGATGGTACGAACTCCTCGGTGAGTAGAATGCTCCGCATCGAAAGCGGATTCCTTTTTGCGTTGCTCCTCGTTCGAGAAGAGCTCGAAGCTTGACGCAACGATCTCCGTTAAATAACGCTCACAGTATTTTAGTCAAGTTGTAACCCAATTAACGATTTTCCTGGTTAATCATTCTTTTATTTCATTGTTGATGCATCCAAAGATAAGGTTGATTTATAGTTCGGGGTGAATGAAGAAGTTAACGAAACTGTAAAATTGAAGATCCATTGAACTGAAATAGTGATCAGATCTTCGGGAATTTAAAAATGCTTCTAGTTACTAACACTAGATTTACTAACGTTTATTCTACTTTATTCTATTAGTTCTACAAAACCATGTGCACCTATAAAATCGCGAAAATTGTAGCTTCAGAATTAGAGTATTATTAGAAAGTAATCGACATAAAGACAAAAATCATATCATTCCCCTATTTCCTGCTCAAAAAAGGAAAGCTAAAAGTAATTCCAATTCGAACTGCTTCATTACCGAAAGGAACGTCGGATTACCAATTAGCCGAGTCGTAATTAGTAATAGAAATACCACGACCCAAGGGCGCGGCTTACAAGTTCCCCGGTAACGATGCGAGTGTTAATCCGTCGACGCTCCGCTCGCGCGAGCGAAGTTTCGGGAATTAACAATGCGCCGGTTGCGGATCACGCAACACGGCGTTCCTTAATTTCGCGGCGCGCGGAAAGTTGGGAGCCGAGCGGAGAGGTAATTTTAATCGGGGAAGCGATCGACGTCGTAAAAGTGGTGCCGAATAAAACGCTCGCGAGTTAAAGATCGCGATGCGGGGGATCCCGTTTCGCAACGTGGGATCCGTTGCATCGAGTTCCCGTAATCTGTCGGCCCTGAGCTTCCGGAGGGAATAAAAGCGCGCAGAACGGCATGCCACGGCTTGATCCATTATGGCACGGGCGCACTCGGCGCGGTACGCTGCGACGCGAACCCTGTAATGCGCTCCGGATAACGGGGTTACGACGGTTTTTTTCTTTATTCGGGACCGTGGACGCGCGATTCGATGCGATTGCCCGACCGTCCTTCGATCTCGAAGCGGTTCGGATTTTAGCCCGATTTCGGGAGCACGGGGATCTTGATCATTTTTGGGAAATGCACTGCCAGGTTTTATTTGTAGGGAATTGAGAGTATTGAGAGCGGATGTATTGAAAATAGTAGGAGACTTGAATGTTTGGTAGACATCGAAAGGTTTGGAGTCTGGAAGGTTTGAATGGTCTGAAAGATTTGGAAATGTTGGACGTCTCGAAGGTATTGAGAGTATTGAGAATTCTGGAAGCGTTGGAACCCTTGAACGTTCTAAACTAATTTTATGAACGACCATCTAACTTATTTCGTTTTGAATGAAAGGTTTGAACATATTGGAAGCTTAGAAAGTCTCGAAGGTACCGAAAGTATTGAGAATTCTGAGACTGTTGGAACCTTTGAACATTCTAAACTAATTCTATAAACAACCATCTAACTTATTTCGTTTTGAATGAAAGGTTTGAACATACTGGATGCTTCGAAAGTCTCGAAGGTACCGAAAGTATTGAGAATTCCGAGACTGTTGGAACCCTGAAGAGCCCTAAACCAATTCTATAAACAATCATCTATCCCATCATCTAGCACGTCATGTCCAACTTGCCGGAACACGCAACCGAATAAATGCATTCGCATTAAACCGCCGTTCCCATCGAACGATCAACGAGAATAATCAGTGTTCGAATACGGATCCGCTTCGCAGAGTAGCGCGGTGGATCGCGAAAATTCGGGAATACGGAATTAGAGGATTGTGGAAAGGTTCCCGGCGCCGTCCGGAAACAATATCGCTGAAATAGAGGGTGAATTGGCGAGACACGGAATGGGATTTTCGTATTTTCCAGGTGACGCCAGTGGCATCGGCGGCATCTTCGTCGGGTTTAGCCTCATCGCCGTCGTGGAGTTCGTTTACTTCGTCGGGCTTTTCGTGTTCGAGCTTTTAAAGGGGCCGGATTCGTCTGACGCCGCCGAGGACGAAAGTGGGCGTAAACGAGCGCCGATACAGGTGATTTATTGGGGCGAGCTGTACCCGAGAACGAGGCCGGCTCTGATGCCGAAGCGACGCGATAACTATTAGCGTACACACCTTCTCAGCGGAATAGAAAATTCAGACGTCATCCTGGCAGTAGCGTCGTTGCTCCGAGCAGCTTTCACCGCTAAACGACACGTTCTAATTAACCCTTTGCACTCGACTGTTTTTCAGCATAGATGTTCGATACTTTTGTACGAGATACGAATGATGTTTGAAATAAATATTAAGAATAACGATTGTCTCGTGTGTATTGTAATATAAGTCAAATGGTGATTGACAGTCAATTCTAGAGTGCAAAGGGTTAAACTGACTTTATGGAGATAGATGAAATGGAAGGTAAATTTGAAATGGAAATGTATGCGAAACACAGTTGATAGTATTGTTAAAATATCGTATGTTATAAGATCCGAGTGCACCAAGTCTCATTCCAATTACTGATTGTTCCATTTGCTCGCAATCCCACGAACATTATCACACGCGAGGGAAAATAAAGGAAACCACTGAATCGAACTACACAGCTTCCCGAAATCACCGAAGAAGTCCCTTAATCATAGTTCTATAGCACTCGCAATCGCAGTTCGTTCAAATCGCAAAGCGTTGCAATCTCCTGAAACTTTACTTCAGCCGAAATCACGAAGTGGAAATAAATTAGGAGAAGGAAAGAAGTTTCGACGAATCGACGCGTATTTTCTACGAGATTTCGCTGGAGGATCTAATGGCTTAGACACTTAATGGCTGTGCCGAGGAATTCGGCTGAACGATCAGTTTTCATTTTCCTCGTTCTCACAGTTCTCTATTGGTTTTATTCCATAGTTCCTGATATTCTCGATCACTGATTTGCTGCTCGTCAATACGGTTACACGTAAACAATCGAAACTATAAAACTGTTTTACCTTCCTTGCTTAAATTGCCGCTAGACCTGTCGAGCATTTAACATCATTGATACGTGATCCCTATGAAAATTGTAACAATATTTTATCTTCAGTTTCTTCAGACATCCTACTATCTAAGCGAAACAATTTATTTCCAAAATCATTTCGAATATTCAACGCTTCTCAGATATCAATAATTGCGAAAGAAATAAAACCAGTCATTTTCAGTAGTACGGTAGTTCCAGTGTTAATAGCACGCTCAACTTGTATTTGTAGCGTCGTTAACAGGCTTTTCACTCGTAATTCCATAGAGTGTGTAAACTTATGATTTTTTGTTGGGCTGTATTCACAACCGTCTTGAGTTGGACCAGCCTGGTGTACATCTTCCCGAGAAATTACACTGGTCGAGTCGCGTTTCTTTCTTCCAGGACTTAACGGAGGAGAATCCGACGATCTGCGAGTAATTGCCGCGCTATAAGCTCGCGAGCTTTCTAACGAGGATCCGGCGAAGGTTAGCTTAAAGCGTTAAAGCGGATCGAGCCGAATCCGCCGCGAAATCCGGCGGAAAGGTACCGTTGAGCCGGCGAAAAAATGTTCGACGGAAGATGTTCGTCCCGAACACGTGTTCCCAACTCGTCTTCGAGTCGTTCTGTTTCGGCGAGATCGTTTCCGCTTCCGCTGTACCGAACGAACTTTCCGCTGATTCTCTAATTTAACATTCTCACGCGATATCCGTGTAAATATTAAGGGAATTTCTGAAAAGTACCTCCTCGTTCGTTTGGTAAACGTTGCGAGACTTAATGAGTTCGCGAAATTTCATTTGTACCGCGAGATTAAATTATGTTTGTGTTATTTAATTAATATCTCGCTTTCACAGCTTTCGCCGGAAGAAGGTGCGGGGCGAATGAAACGGAAAATTAAATTGCACAATGCAACGAAATTGAATGTATAAATGCGACGGAATTTCTCATCGCGATTCGATGGATTTAGTAGCTTGTCCGGTGGCGATTGTTTATTGAAGACCCTGTAATGAGTACTTCAATTATTCATGGTATTACAACGTTGTCGCAGCATGTCTATTAATATCACGTATTCGCTTTAATTAAGAAGGCCGATCGATAGCGCTGCGTTAATATTAATTTTGTGGCAAACGCGATGGAAAAGTTTCCGTGTTCCTTCCATTCCTTTCCGCGGGACAATCGAATATCGAATTCGATCGCGTGTCGAATGAAATCCGCCGGCATCCCGATTGCGTATAAATATTAATTGCAATAAACTCCTGTCCTCCACCTCGTAGCGTTACAATAATCCAGGAGTGAAACAATGGAGATTTAATTCTCATCGATCCGTGATTAGAGAATTCATCAGCGATTCAACTTTCAACGATTATCTCGCGAACATCGGCACAAAGAAATTCGTTTCGTTAACTAATTAATCACTTCCCATAAACTGCAATACAAATATTCCCTAGCATTTTAGAAAGTTTCATACGAGCAATTAATAATTCAATATAAACCACTCTTATCGACGCGCAAATCAACCGATTATTCAAGTAACCAAAAGATTGCGATTTTCAGAAAAAGAATCAATGAAAATAGCCAGAAATAATACTATCGCTATTTTATAAATGCACATTCCAGTCGTTGAAGTAATATACTCCACAACCCTCTCCCAACAGCGTTAAAAATTTACATACTCCGCTTTGATAAAAGTTTCAATCTTTCGCGGAGCCTGCAACCTGCCGCGCGAGCCTCATCGGAGAACAATATTTTCGTGATTATCTCTCGGAAGCCGCAATTCGAGTCTTAATCACCGTGGAAAATATGAGCCGCGAGGCGAGGAAGCAATTTCGGCGCTCAAAGCAGTCGTCGGCCTCCAATTTGTACCCTCAAAGTGACGACGCGTCGGTGTCGGGGCTTTTGCCGACGGTATTGTTATGAAACTCGATCGTTCCGACGCGATCGCGCGGCGTCGGCCGATGAAGGGGGCGGCCGAGGAGGAATCGACACGCGGCCCGAAGATGAATTTCATCGCGGACGAGCGATCTATCGACGCGAATTGCCCGGAGTTCGGCAGAGCCCCGCGGAGAGCGCTTTGTGGGAATAGATATTGATATCTCCTAATTGTTGGCCCCGAGTATGGCGACCGGGCTCGCCGCTACTAGACGAAAGTCGGCCATTACTCGACAGCTTCTGTAATCCTCTTACAGTCGCCCTTGTTGCTGAATCGTATTCCGGGGCAATTCACGCGGTCCGCAATGAATTCTCGGAACAACGGACGTGTCACGTCGAAGAGAACAATAGGCGAAGTGTGTGAAATGTCTGTAATTCTTTGCGCTGATCGTTAATTAAATTAGTGCTTCGATTTCTGAGATGTGTATGAATGAATCTATATGATTATGGGAAGAGTTTAATGACGTATGAAATGAATGGCCGTAGATCTAATGAATTTTCAGAACGACGGAAGTATCATGTCGAAGAGAACAATGTAATTCTCCGTGCTGATTGTTAATTAAAATCTGTATGATTATGGGAAGAGTTTAATGATGTATAAAATGAATGGCCGTAGATTTAATGAATTTTGAGAACGACGGAAGTATGTCGAAGAGAACAATAGGCGAAGTATGTATAAAATGTCTGTACTTCGTTAATGAAGGAGTTCTAATGATTACGACCAAAACTGTAATCGAATACATGTGATTGTTAGAATCCCTATATCCTGGTTTATGGTATAAAATATCAGTTATTTGTTAATTGGAGAGTGTTAATTATCCTGCAGAAAATTGTGGCTGTTTGAATACCTTGCGTCCTGCTTTGCAGCGTAAAATACACCTAGTCCGTTAATTGAAGGGTTCTATTTACTCTAAAGAACATTGTAAATGGACACTATGTTTTGCTTCGTCTTTCGCAACCTTTGTTCCTATTTTCATTTCCTACTGGCACAGAATTCTAAGCTATACAAGAATCCAAGCGATTTATTGTGCGGTTATATTATCACGTAATCATCAAGCTGTTTTAATTTAAGAATCCTATTAAACCCAGAATAAAGGCTTCGTTCGAGCAACCCCCTCGATTTACCGAAACTAGTTCATATCTGTTATAAGCGTAAACAATTCCTACTCTAGTTAATAGCAACTCAATCGAAATTTACAGCGCCAGAAACGCTCGCAATTATCGCAGCAATTAACAGAGCCAGCGGACGATTACGTGTAACAACATTTCCCCCCCGGTGAATCGCGATTCTCCGCTAGATCTCGAGTTGATTTTTGATTACGGCGCGCGGAATCGCCGACAATGGACACCGTGAAACTAATCAACGCTCGCGCGACGCGTCGCCAGTTCAATTTTCAAGTGTTCCGACGCTAATTGCCTCCGCCAGGAACGCTCCCATGGTCGATTGATTCGGTAGACGCGTTCTATTCTACCGGATCCTCGGTACCAACGTGTCCGTTGAA